ACAAATTCCATATGTAAGACAAGGGTATATGAGTGAATGGTACAGTGCCAGGAGAGCTGATTGTGGAATGTAGTACCTTATCTTTGATAGTATGCCTACAGTCTTGGAGATTTTCTTGGTGATTTGTTGTATGTGTGTCCGGAACTTAAGGCTACTGTCAAGGTGGATACCTAGGAATTTTCCCTCTGTGAGTCTTGTGACTGATGATCCATTTAGCATAATGTTAATTGGATCATTTGCAGCTTTGTTTCCAAACTGAATGAAATAGGTTTTATCAGTGTTCAGGGTAAGTTTGTTAGTCATCATCCAGGCAGATATTTTCTGTAATTCAGCATTGACTGCGTGTGGGTGGGAAAATACATATGTAGTGTCATCTGCAAATAATATGGGTTTGAGTAGCTGTGATGCATTCGGTAGATCATTGATGTAGATGAGAAAGAGGAGTGGTCCAAGGACGCTTCCTTGTGGGACTCCTACTGTGATTGGTTGGGTGGAGGAGTTTGCATCATTTGCATATACATATTGAGTTCTGTTACTAAGGTATGACTTTAGGGAGTGGCCTCTGATACCATAGTGCATTAATTTGGAGTACAGTAGTTCATGGTCGACTGTATCGAAAGCTTTACGTAAATCAATGAAAATGCCCAGCGGGACTTCTTTCTTTTCAAGTGCGGTATATATTAGTTCTAGCATGTGTATGATTGCGTCATTTGTGCTTTTATTATTCCTGAATCCAAACTGACAAAGGTTTAATATGTTGTGTGAAACGAGGTAGGAATAGATCCGTCTATGAATTAATTTTTCAAAGATTTTAGAGAGCAGTGGTAAGTTAGATATTGGTCTATAGTTATTCAAGTCAGCTTGGTCACCTCCTTTATGGATCGGAGTGACCCTCGCTATTTTGAGGATTGTTGAGAAGGTAGATGATTCAGTGGATTTGTTAAAGAGCGTTGCAATAATTACTGACAATACTTGAGAAGCTTTTTTGTACATAAAAGCAGGCAAGTTGTTTATGTCTCCTGCCTTGTTTTTAAGGGTGTTTATGATGAGCATAACTTCAGTGGGGTTGGTTGGAGCTAGGAATAGCGTATTTGGGTAAGTTCCTATGAGGTAGTCTGATGGACGGGCGTTTGTGCTTGGTATTTTGTTTGCTAGATTTTTTCCTATGGTGGAGAAGAAAACATTAAGTCTGTTTTCTGTTTCTGTTGGAGTGAGTAGGGGTTCATCTGATTTTGTTAGTTTGATTTCTTTGTTTTTGGATAACATTTTAGTTCCAAGAATTTCAGATAGTTTTCCAGGTTTTTTTCATATCACCTTTGATGTTATGTAATCCATTTTCATAATACAATTTTTTTTGACCTTCATATCAGGCTGGTAAGTGCTGACGAGTAATTTTTCGGCTGTTCTCTAGTTGTTTGACCCATTCTATACTATTTTTCATATTTGTGCTTTGTGTTAATGGATTTGAGGATGCTTTGTGTTAACCAGGGATTATTCAGTCTCTTTGCTGTGATCTGTTTAGTTTTTTCTGGGGGCAGTGTCTGTTATAGAGGCATTGGGCTTTTTTTCAAAAATTATTTATACATTCATTCATATCTGTATATGTTTCAAGCTCATTTTGCCAATCGATGTTATTCATAGCTGCTACAAAGTTGTTAACTGCTGTCTCATTATGTAGTCTGAAGGTTACTTTAGTAATGTCTTGTGGTAGTTTGCCCAGATAAGTTATGAGAAAGGTTGGGTAGTGGTCTGTAGTGTTGTCTGTGATTATGCCTGATTTTAAAGGGGATATGGTGTTTGTCCAGATGTGGTCTATTTAGGAGATGCTTGTCTCGGAAGTTCTTGTAGGTTTAGATATTGCTGGTAGCAACAGGCAGTTACTCATTGTGTTTGTGAATTCTGTTACTTGTGAGCTCTGGTCGTGTAGTATGTTTATGTTGAAATCACCTCTTAGTAGTAGGTGGTCTTTATTCATGTGTGCATCAGTAATCATGTTTCCTAGTTTTTCACTAAATTGGTAAATGTTTGACTGTGGTACTCTGTAGATGTTTATAACTGTGAGGGGTTTTTGCAGGTCTTTTGATTTAAATTTGGCTATGATATATTCTCCATGTTCATCCCTTGTGCAAGATTTATTGATACATTCGAGTTGATTTGAATAGTATATAGCTGTTCCTCCCCCTTGTTGGTCTGTTCTACAGTTGTGTATGACCATGTAGCCAGGAATGGTATAGACATCTGTAATATCAGGCTTAAGCCAGGTTTCTGTGAGTGTGATGATTGATATATTGGAATGAAGGGAACGAGTAATGCTGTGAGGTCACCATAATGTTTGCTCAAGGATCTGACATTGTAGTTAAAGATGGTTATGTTATTGTTTGCACTGAGTAATGTCTTTGCTTGGTCTGCTGTGTAGTAATTACAGTTACTGGTTGATTCGGTAATTCATTTTGTAAAAAGTTTACATCAGGATCTCTGCCTATAATCATAGGATGAGAGTAATTTTACAAACTAGATTTTCTGAGTAAAATGATTTAAGATTTATATTGAATCTACAACTAGATTTATGACTAAGACACTGTGATTAATCTAAAACTTGTAAAAATTTGAAAGAAAAGGGGATTATTACAGAATTGATAATTCAGTTATACACTTAAGTATCTAATAGCACCTTAATTATTTTAACAAGTAAGTTTATGAACTACAGTAGATATTTACAGTTAAAATAAAGGAGCTAATGGATATAATAGTAAAAGAATGTATTAAAAGCAAAATCAGTAGCACCTGAGGTAGTCTATAGCACCTGGAGTATTTTAATGGCAAAATAGTGAACTTATTACGCTTGAGCCCCTGAGAATAGCACTTTGATAATTTTAACAATTGTGAATATATGAACTGAGGTAGTTATTTAAAGCTAAAATAAGGGAGAATATATATAAGGGACTAAATTAAGTAAAGTTATACAAAGTTCAATGGACAGATAATCACTATGATATAATATAATGGCAAAATAGTGAACTTATTACACTTTAGCACCTGAGAATAGCACCTTGATTATTTTAACAATTGTGAATGTATGAACTAAGTTAGTTATATAAAGCTAAAATAAAGGAGAAAATATATAAGGGACTAAATTAAGTAATGGTGAACAAAGTTCAATGGACAGATAGTCACTATGATATAATATTGATTTGGGAGTAAGATCTGATTTGTAATGTATAATAAGTTGAGCAGTTAATTGCACTATAAAAAGTAGAGAAATATGAGGTAGCTGGTACTAGCTAGCAAAAGATAGTTTTGGGACTCGCACAATAACGTAATTGGAATATGCACTAATTGCTCACACAATATAAAGGGGATTAAAAAAGTAGTGGTAAGCTGAATTAAATGGACAAGTAGCAACCATGAATAATATTAATTTGGAGTAAGATTTGTCTTGCAACACAAAATTATGAGCAATAAAAGCAATTAAAAAGTAAAAAGTATTTGAGGTAGCTGGTATTAGCTAGTGAAAGAAAAAAATAATAATGCACAATAATGTACAGTAATAGTAAATAATAATAATACACAATAATATAATAGTAACGTACACTATATGCACCACACGTATACATGTATATGTGTTAAGGACACTTATCTAATCTGTTACAGAAATGTCAGCTTTTCTAAGGAAGGTAGAGAAATCATGTTCATTTGAGATGGTGTATTGTTGTCTTGTTGAAGTTTTTCTAATTAGTATTTTCCCATCTCGAGTGACACACTGATTTATTTTGGTTTCCTGTTTAAATTTTCTCAACCTGAACAGAAGGTTTTGACGTTTTCTCGTTAGACGCTCGTTGATGTACACTCCATTTTTCATTGTAATTGCTGATTTAATTAAGTCCTTTCTTTTATCATATGAATGAAGTTTGATCATGATACTGTGTTTACTATCTTGTTTTCCTAACAAACATGTTTCTTTGATTTCATTGTTTTGCACGATAACTTGTACATGGTCCTGTATTATCCTGATAGCAGTTTCTTTGCACTGTTCTTGAGTCATGTCACTAGGAATGTGTGGACTGTTCATTATAACTGCATCAGACAACTTATCTTGTTCAGTTTTGTCGTCTTGGAAATCAAGGTATTCATCCAGTTGAGTGTGCATGTTCTGATTCCAGTCCTTGATTGCTTCTTCAACCTTCATATTTAGAGTTGTTAATTGCTCAGTGTGACTGTATCTGTTAAAAAGTTTCATTGATAAATTATCCAGAATAAGTGGAGAATTATCACTTTTTTCTCTGATGGAAAGCACTTCATGGTTTCTCTTAGGCTTTGAAGAACTTCCACATTACTACTATCACACTTCGAGGCCATTTTTAAGCAAAATTAAGGGTTACTTAGGGCCACGGTAAACAGTGGATAACTGAAACCACAGATACCAGACCAGCGGATACGGGGGGCCTACTATGCCTAGAAAGTATTTGAGAGCCTGATCCTAAATCTGCACACTGCCATAACAACATACTGGAGCGAGAGATATGGAAGGAAGTGCAAAATAAACCCTGTGAAAAGCAGGGGTACTGAGGGCATGAAAAAAAAACATGGTAATAACATCTGTGGCCCCAGATGATTTAACCAGATATGAGAAACATTGCTGAGACAAGTGTAGAAGTCATCAAGTGAAAGCTGGATGAGTGTCTAACCTAGGTCCATAATTAACCAGGTGGTGGATATGCGGGCTGGTGATGCAACAGCCTGGTTGACCAGGCAAGCACCAGATGAGTCTGTCCCAAGGCTGGGCTCTGGGAGTAAAAGAACCTTCAGAACTTGTCAAAAATTTATCAAAGATAAGTATTGCTGAGGTGTACTTATTAGCTTGTTGGTTAAAAAATATTATTATTATTACTACTGAAAAAACTAATGTACATAGTGCATATATTCTACATAATCAGTATTTTTATGTAACTAAGACTTGCCCCGAAAACTCGATAGCTTATCAGATAAGCTATCTTTTAGCTGTTGGTGTGAAGGTGGCTTCACTTAGTATGGAAATATCACCTTCGTGTATGCCTTGGGAAGGATGCCATTGGTCTGGTAACACCAGTGATGTGTCCTCTTACTCAGTCTTATTGACACAGGTGAGAAGAGCAGAGGTGTTTTCTACAGGTGTATAACCAAGTTTAACTTTTGGACTTTTTATCACTGTGTAGGAGATTAATTATATAAATAGATTCATTTAAGAGAGAATGATTTATGTTACATTAATATCACTTATTGTTGGATAATAACAATATATTGTATAAAAACAGAAATTGAAATATTTGAAGAAATCTGTGTGTTTACCTGGAGTTTTCCTGGAGAGGGTTTTGGGGGTAAACACCCCCACGGCTTGGTCTGAGACCAGGCTTCATGGTGGATCAGGGTCTAATCAGCCAGGCTGTTACTGCTGGCTGCACGTAAACTGACGTATGAACCACAGCCCAGCTGATCAGGTACTGACTTTAGGTATCTGTCCAGCGCCTTCTTGAAGATACAAGAGTCTGTTGATAATTCCCCCTTATGTATGCTGGTAGGCAGTTAAACAGTCTTGAGCCCCTGAAGGATGATTTATTTTTAGTGACTTTTGAGTATATTACTTCTTAAATCTCTGAGCTAGACTCTTGCATTATTGTGGAGATAAGATATTAGATGGAATGTTAGAAATAGGGATGGATAACTAAAGTTCAAATATGAGTCGAAAAATTATTGCGAAAAAAGAACTTAACAGATTGCATGATTTTGAAAAAAAATTGAAAGAAAGTCCTGAAAGTGATAAGGAACATCATTCTCGAGGTAGAGCATCATCTCCATCACCTCTAGCTAGGCCTGCTTTCACTGCCAGAACATCTTCAAGGTCTGCTAGTAATGCACCCCTGCAAGAGACACCTTCCACCTCTTGCCTTGTTTTGCTACATAGTTCAAATGCTTCACCAACTAAATCATTTGTTACTATTAGATCAAAACAATCTCCGAATTCCTTGTCATTAGTGGAAAATTCAGCTTCTACTTCTCCAAAAGCCTTACCTTTACATACATCACATTCATCACCTGAGTCAGGTGTCAAGTCTTCCCTGGCATCAACAGCTAGAGTGAAATCTAGATCCAAATCTCCATCTCCTCTTGCTAAGGATTTTCTGTCTCTGAAAGGAACCTTAACTTCTTCAATTATCAGTGGGCAAACTCAAGGTAATTCCTCGAAGACTTCTTCACCTGGTGCAAGAATTTTTCCTTCCACGATAAACTCCTCACTTAAAAAGAATCTTTCCACCTCTACTAGAAATCTTTCCACATCTCCAAAGCATATATCTTCTATGAAGATAATCTCCTCATCTGTCAAGACTCTTCATATTGCTTCTGAAACAGGATCTGCTTCATCTTCACAACAGACTGAGGCAAGTAGAGTGCTATGACATGAATATAAATCAGTACTGTAGTATAACACAAGTCATAAGTACAAAATGCATATACAATATATTTAATTTAGAAGAAATAATTAAAGATTGTAAGTGCTGTGCTAGATCTCTTATAACATACTATAATGTATACGTATAGTTGGCAGTTATCCCATGTTTGCACTTTTGTTTTAAATTAACGTAAGGACCCAATATTGCCCTTGTAAGTATTTACCGAAACCAAAGTAGGCAGTTGTTTAAATCATTAAACATGATCTTTATTAGTCAGGTTGAAACATCGATATTCAATGACTTGTTGAGATCCTGCACTAAATACGGTGCTGTATATACTGTACCAGTCTTTCCTCTTGGTTATGCAACTCTACATATTCACTATTTAACCCCACATTTTTTTATTCACAGCCCTATTCATCTTCACAGCATCATTCATATTTAATACCTAACACTGAAATAAGCAGTGATTAAAATAATTTTTGTGTTCTGGATGACCTTTATTAATTGGGTTGGGGAACAACATATATCTTAAAACCTTATCAGGTTCAGATAAGGAGTCCATGTAAAGTTTGCTTCGGTCTCTACATGAATCAAGGCCAATAAGAGATCAGAAATTGTTCACGAATTAAATAAATTGATAGCTTGCATATGTTTAGATCTCTAAAAGGCTATTCCTACTGGCCCATGCTAGGCAGATCCAACTGCACCCACTTATACCTGCTCAACCTGTTTTAAGCTACCCAAAGTACTTGCTTCACTGATGCTAACTGGGAGTTTGTTCTATTCCTCTATAACTCTGTTGCTAAACCAGTGCTTCATATACATCTTCTTTCAACAAACCGGTCATATCCCACCGAGACAGGGTGGCCCAAAAACAAAAATGAAAGTTTCTCTTTAACTTCAGTAATGTATACAGGAGAGGAGGTTACTAGCCCCTTGCTCCTGGTATGTTAGTCGCCGCTTATGACATGCATGGCTTACAGAAGAAGAATTTTGTTCCACTTCCACATGGAGATAAGAGGACATGAACAAGAACTAGTAAGAAAATAGAAGAAAACTCAGAGGGGTGTGTGTGTGTGTATATATGCTTCTACATGCAAGTGTAGAGTACCCTAAGTGTATGAAGTAGCAAGATGTACCTGAAATCTTGCATGCTCATGAGACAGAAAAAAGTACATGTTTCCGTTTTACACTCACTCGGCAGGATGGGAGTACCTCCCTGAGCAGATGCTGTCTGCCAACCTACTACCTATATTTCATATAGTATATAACTTTTTTAAATCTAAATTTGTCCAATTTGCATTCATTGTTGTGAGATTTGTCTTGATTCAGTACTTTTGCCATATTATTTATATCCCTTTTCTTTATTCTGGCTTTCCATCTGTCCAGTGCTAGTCACGTCATTATGCCAGGTGAATGCCCCGGCATAATGCTGTGAAGAAAATCAGTGGCCTACCATAGGGGGTCTTTTTTCATCAGTGATTATGCCGGGTAGCAGCCGTTAACATGATGTCATGACCTGCCGCCACACTCCACAGTGACTCGGTGCTCACGTAGATACTGTGGTGAGAGGAAGTGTCGCACTTTTGTCTCATCTGCCCCATCTTTTGTCTGGTGTTCCCTTTGGTTTTGGGGCTTTACATGTTTGATTGTGGGTAAAAGGACATCTTTAATACCTGAAACCATAGCTCAAATCATGGGGCTTCACAAAGCTGGGCACCAGATGAAAGAAATAGTGGAGAATGTTGGTGTGTGTGTGTGTGTGTGAGCGTTCAGTGAGGAACTGGGTGTAGCATTTCAAGGCTGGTAGCGGTGTCGAGTTACCCTCTGCCAAACCTCGGCCTGGCCCCTCGAAGAAGACATCTGTTTGTACCTTATTAATGTTAACCCTTTGACTGTCGCAACCTGAAATCCTGAGGTGTCTCCTGGTGTTGCAAAATATTAAAAAAAAAAATTCCTATGAAATGATAGAGAATCTTTTCCCGATGGTAATGACACCAAAAGTATGAAATTTGATGGAAAACTTACGGAATTACGTTCTCGCGGAGTTAGTGACCTCGGCGATTTCGCCCAGTTTGAGCCCTGATTTCGGGTAATTCCAGTGTTCCAGTCGACCAAACTCATAGCTATTTCTTTAGAACTTCATTTGTTCTATCGATTGAGTACAAGAAACTGCTCATTTACCGATTTCAACTACCCAATAAAGTGGTCAGAAATTGGCAATTTGGCCAATTTCATGCAAATTAAAAAAATATGCCAATTTCAAAATAGGGTCCAGAATGAACAATGCAGACATTCCTGGCTCTAAAATAACTTTCTTTGTTTATCAGTCATGTCTCCAGGCCCCTCTGTGATATTACACTTGCTTTCTATTTTGAATTTTTATCGTAGGGGTTCTTAATGGAGATATCGAGGGTTGAAGGTAGACACACTTGTTGGATGGTAACATATATATTGTCAGACTGTGATGATGAACGTGGAGCCCAGCCTCTGCCTGTCTACGCCTGTCGAGGTCTACACGCCGTCTGAGATGGGGGCAGAGGTACGAATGTGCACATGCGCATCCCGTGACGTCACACAACAGTCACAGGCCTAAAAAGGATCTCCTATCTAAAGCACATGGATGATACTATATGCTATGCTATATAACACAAGGATCAGCAACTATGTTGACATTTTTATCAAACAAAAAATAGAAGATTTACTGTTATACAGACTACTGCAATATTGTAATAATTGTATAAATGTAAACCCATTCATGACTGCATATTAGAATGTCTACTTGGACATTTATTGGACAGTGATGTCATTTGTTTACTCTTGAACATCGGCAAAAATTAAACATTTCCCCTCCTTTGAGCTCTATTTCAACGTGTTTTTTATAGTAAAACCAATCAAAATCGCCTCCATTTCTATAATATGTTTTCCATTCTATCAAATGTGGCTACAAAAACGAGAATATAACCACAAAAACTATACGAAAATACACCTCAAAGTTGGCGTTTTAATCCAAAAACACAGTCGGAGTTTTTTTTTTTCTCATTACGCACTGTGTGCTGCAGGATTTTTTTATACTGTGCACACTGACCACACAGACCATCCTCTCACATGTGGGACTACCAGCTTTCTCCCGCTTAATTTGAAGCCCCTAGAATTTTTGAGTATATGTACGTTAAACACATTGGCTCGTAAGACGTATATATACGACCGAAACAGTCAAAGTGTTAAAGAAGCAATTAGAGAGTACACCTAAGATAACTGCTAGAGAACTGAAAGAAAAGAACCCACATCTTCTCTCAGAGGTGTCTGTAAGCACTGTTAATAGACGTGTGTCAGAACTGGGCTACAGTAGTCACCACCAGGTTAAGAAACTGATTCTCTCCAAGCCACAGAAGAAACGTAGGCTGGATTATGCAAAGAAATATCTTCACTGGAATCCTCAACAGTGGTCTGAAGTACTTTGGAGTGATGAAGCAACCTTCACTGTCACCTGTAACTGTGGGGGACATGCGTACCAGCCCAGAGGTAGTGACCCTCTAGGCCCACGCTACACCTGTAAGACCACCAAACACCCAGACTCGTTCATGGTTTAGGGGTGTTTCAGGCTCAGAGTGTTGGTTAACTCGATGTGTTTCCCAAAAACCAGTATATGAACCAGTATAATTACCTGGAGTTATTGTGTGACAATTTCCTGAGGCATTTGACAAGTGTGGGGTTACAATTTTTATGCAGGACGGTGCACTGTGTCATACCGCCAAATCTGTAGTTCAGTGAAGTGAGGTTCTTTAACCCTTAAACTGTCCAAACAAATTTATGTTCACATGTGTAGTGCTCCAAAAGTAGATCTACGTTTTTTACATATTTTCAAATATAACAAAAAAAAAGTAGATCAAAGTTTTTTTACACGTTTTCAAATGTAAAAAAAAGAAAAGATCTACGTTTTTTTACATACTTTCAAATGTTGAAAAAAACGCAGATCTACGTTTAGACAGTTTACGGGTTAATGACTGACCAGGCAATTCCCCAGACCTAAACCCTATTAACCCTTTCAGGGTCCGTTCCGTAGATCTACGGCTTTACGTTCAGGGTCCAAACCGTAGATCTACGCCATGAGCTCAGCTCACTCTGATAAACTGTGAGTGGTACATTTGGGCCTAGATATGAGAGAATACATCTATGTGGTATGTGTGCACCACATAAAACAGATCCTGCAGCACACTGTGTATAATGAGAGAAAAAAATGAAATCATGATTTTTCGATTAAAACAGCAACTTTGCAGTGTTTTTTCGTATGTTTTTTATAGTTGTATTTGCGATTTCTTGGTCTCATTTGATAGAATGGAAGACATATTACAGAATAGAGATGATTTTGATTGGTTTTAGCACTGGAAATGGCTTGAAACTGAGCTCAAACTAGCGGAAATGTTAAATTTTTGCCGATATTCAAGAGTAAACAAACGACCTTACACATCTAATACACGTCAGCTGGTGGGTCTAATATACATTCACAAATATGGTGATGATATTTATACAATTATTACAGTATTGCATAACAGTAAATCTTCTATTTTTTGGTGTGAATAAAAATTCATTATGTGAATAAAAAATCAAAATGGAATTTATTTGTAAAGCCTCAAAACATAACTAATGAACAGAGGAAATGTTAGTTTAGTGCCAGGAATGCCTACATTGTTCATTCTGGACCCTATTTTGAAATTGGAATATTTTGAACTTTGTGTTAAATTGGCCAAATTAACAATTTCCGATCACTTTATTTTGTAGTTGAAACAGTTGACTTGGCGATTTCTTGTGCTCAATCGATAGAATAGAAGTAATACTAGTGAAATAGCTAAGAATTTGGTTGATTGGAATAATGTAATTGGCCTAAAATGGGAGTCAAAGTCGGCAAAATCGCCGATTCGTAAATATCGCTGACACATCAAAATTCGCGAGAGCATAATTTCGTCAATTTTCCACCAAATTTC